CCGGGGCGGGGACGGGGACGGGGACGGGGCCCGGGCAGACGCCGGGTCTGCGTCAAGTGCCCGCTGACCCCGCCATGTCGCGGGCCTCAGACCCCCCGGTGATTGTGGAGATGAACTCCTCGGTGGAGGCCATCGAGGGCTCCCACGTCAGCCTGCTCTGTGGGGCTGACAGCAACCCGCCGCCGCTGCTGACCTGGATGCGGGACGGGACGGTGCTCCGGGAGGCCGTGGCCGGGAGCCTGTACCTGGAGCTGGAAGAGGTGACCCCCGGGGAGGACGGCGTCTACGCCTGTCTGGCAGAGAACGCCTACGGCCAGGACAACCGCACCGTGGGGCTCAGCGTCATGTGTGAGTCCCCGCCCCGTACGTCCCCACGCGCCTCCCGCGGGACCTGCGGCGGAGAGATCAGGGACAGGGCCTCGCCCAGGGCGGCGCGGGCTGGGCCTGCCGGAGAGGAGGGGTGCAGGTCCAAGTGTTCTTTTATTCTTTCCACAAATATCTGGTGAACACCTGCCCTGCACCCCTCTTATTCTGAGGCAAGACACAGATTCATCCTGCTACCCAGGAAAGCCTGTTAAATACCGTTTCTTGGGGCTGCCCCTGCCTGGTCTGGAAGTGATCTGGGCCAGGCCCCAGGAATCTGCGTTTTAAAATGAGCCCCTCAGCAGCTCTAAGGGGAGGGTTGAGGAGACCCCAGGTGTCACCCAGCCACTACGTGTGTGCATGCGTCTCTTATGGGTCCTGAGAGGGGGCTGGTCAGAATAGCATTCTTAGTTAGGATCCAAGGAGAGGCCATTCATTCATTCATTCATTCACAAATATTTATTGAGGCAAAGTGCCCAGGGCTGGGGATAATAACAGTGACAGCCACAGCCAACATTTACTCAGCAGTTCCAGAGTGCTTTACACAAATGCTCTTCCCCCAGGCATCCCCACGGCTGCATCCTGCCCAACTCCTAGTCTCATTGAAGCCTTCCCGCACCATCCTATTTAAAACTGTAACTACCCTGATTTCCCATCTTTCTCTGCCCCACCTTTATTTTTCTCCACAGCACTTATTCCCATGTTAGAAAGTATGTGTTTTATTTACTTATATAGCATTTCTCCACATGGGCCTTGTTCAAGCTAGAACAGTGCCTGTCACTCAGCAGGTTCTCGGTGAACGTTGGATGATTACCTCTATGAGATTGAAATTATTATTAAGCCCATTTTCCAGATGAGAAAAGTAAGTCCAGGAGAAGTTAAGATATGGTCCACACACAGCTGGGAAGGGGTAGAGCTGGGATCCAAAGACAAGCACTCTGGCTGCAGAGCCCCTGTTCTTGTAAGCAAGGCAGCAAGGACTGGAGTTATCTGAGCCATCCTGAACTGGTGTGCTAGGTTTGGGGTGTCTGGGGTCACATTTGGAGGTGGGAGTTGACTGGCAGAAGAAGCATCTCCAGGTTTCTGACCATTAACCCCCAGTCTTGCCCCCCAGATGCACCCTGGAAGCCGACGGTGAATGGGACAGTGGTAGCTGTGGAGGGGGAGACGGTTTCCATCTTGTGCTCCACACAGAGCAACCCGGACCCTATTCTCACCATCTTCAAGGAGAAGCAGATCCTGGCCACAGTCATCTACGAGAGTGAGCTTCAGCTGGAGCTGCCAGCAGTCACGCCTGAGGATGACGGGGAGTACTGGTGCGTGGCTGAGAACCAGTACGGCCAGCGGGCCACTGCCTTCAACCTGTCCGTGGAGTGTGAGTACCCCCTGCTTTCACCCCCCATTCCCGACCTGAGAGTGAGTGGTTCAGTGGGAGACAATGGGGTTACTGGGAGGTGCCCACGCATTCCAACCAGGGCCTGTCCTCACCAGCAGACAAGGATGAGGAGGGCAGGGAAGTTGAATCCACAGCAAGAAGATAAAAACCCCATCTGAGAATACTGAGTTCCCACATCCTGGGGTGGGGTTCTGACCAAGGAGATTTCTGGATTCTGTAGCCACTACCCCTCTGCCTCAACTAAAACAATACTCATGATTCTAACCCTTGTGGAGTGTGACTGTGTACCAGACACTGTTGGAAGTACTACTGTTCAGGGACCCATTTCATCCTCATGACATCCTTATGAGGGAGGTTCTTTTGCTATCCCCAGTTTACAGAGAAGGAAACTGAGGCCCAGAGAGGTTATGCCACTTGCCCAAGGTTACCCAGCAAGGAAATGGCAGAATTTAAGGTTCAAATCCAGTCGGTTTGGTTGCACTCTTCTTTACTGCCCAAAGTTGACCTCATATTATGTCATTACATCAGAATACATTGATCAAGCAGTCGTTATGTGCAAAGGGCTGTGTGGTTCTGTGGGAGGTGGGGTATAGGACCAAGAGGACACCAAGCTTATTAACAGAAACAGTATTAGCTAGAGGGATGAGACGGATGCATATAAATAGCTGCTGTCTTGGTAGTGAAACTCATCACTCCACTGCAAACCAGTGCCTCTCCTGACTTCCTCTCTGTGGACAGCACGGCCAGCACCCCCACCCCCACCCCTGGTCATCACTCTAGGTCGAGGCAGCCAAGTCATAGTTTTGACTCCTCTTCCTCAAATAACTCCATCTGGAATATCACCTGCTTCCCCCTCAGCTCTGGCCCAGCCTCTGACGCTAATCTCCAAACTTCACCTCGAGGGCCTCAATTACTCTACCTACAAATGGCCCCACTATACAAGTTTGCCAGAAGGTTCAATGAGATTCAACATGGAGAGCATTCAGTAGTGTCTGCTACACAGTACATGCTCAGTAACTCTGTACATAGCAATAATCAGTGCATGGTAGATACAGATTGTTCCTGGAGTGCCATCTTCCCCAGCAAAGCTATGGCCGCCCACTCCTCTGCTGACCTTCAGCACGTTCCTTCCCAGTCTCTGCTCTCTCACAGCATTAATGTGATCCTGGCATGCGGTTGTACGGCTCCCTGCTTTCTCTATATGTGCCATCCTGGACCAGCTTCCCCCTTCCACTGCATCTTTCCCCCATACAACCCAAGTGGTTCTTAAGCTTAAGAGTCCAAGAACCCTCTGAGAATCTGCCAGAAGCACCTGAATGTGTACACACCACCACCTTACATACATTTTCAGGGAGTCGCAGGGCCCTCCTACCTCATTAGAGCAGCAGCAGCAAACATTCACGAAGGGCCTGCTCTGGGCCAGGCATTGAATCCTTTACAAGCATGAGCTTGCTGAGCCCTGGGGTGCCCTGTACAGCAGGTATGCGTTATCATCCTCCTCTTCACTGGAGAGAAAACTAAAGGTCAGAATTTCCTGAGGTCCTGCTGCTAGGAAGGTTGGTCAGGGCCAGGATTTTTCCAGACTCCTGCCTGGTCCAACCCAGCACAGGGTATGCAGAAGGCATTTTGCTTTCACAGCCAAATGACTGGGGAAAGGGGACTGATCTTCACCCCAATTTAATAGAAGGAAACTGAAATTTTACTGACATCCAGTACCCAACAGGGCTGAACACACCTGAGTCAGAATCCCAGCTCTGTCTCCATCCCCTTGGGCAGGTGACTTCATCTTGGCTGTTCCTCAGCTCCCTCCTCTGAAAAAGGGAATGTTAACAGTTTCTTACCTCAGAGATGGCTGTGAGGACTAAGGGAATTATGCTGAGTGCCCACAGCACCTGACACGTCCTACATACCCTATAAATCTGAGATATCGTCATTGTCCCCACTGATGTTTCTGTTGGGCCCCAGGTTGGCTATTTGTCATGTGTTCTGCTGCCAAGGCTTTGTTCACATGATCCCCTTGCTGGAATGATTCTGCTGATTAGCCATAAGTACTGGGTGGGATGGTAAGCATTTACAGCACACTCAACGTGCCTGTTTTTGGAGTCCTGTAGCCCCTTGAGAGTTAAGGACCATGACCCCCGTTTTGCAGATGAGAACTCCATCCTGAAGGCCCAGGGGCACTGAGTGGCCTCACCCAGCCAGTAGATGGCAGAGCTAGGATTCAAGCCAAAGCCCTCCCACCGCAAAATCCCCACTTGAGCTTTGTCTGGTGTTGCACAGGTTTTCTCAGGTCGCCCAGGTTGGCCGCGAGCCCACGCATGGGCAGAATGTCAGCATTCCCCCAGCATCCAGGGCAGACACTTTGTCACTGGAGCACCAGCAGTGCCATCTTGAGTGGAAGGGTTTTGAAAAAGTGTAATCTCTGTCAGTTCAGGTTTGTCGTTATTCATTTACTCTGTGCTGTGTTAACTGGTTAACACTACAGCAAGCATAATGCGTGTCTGCCTACACAGAATTTGGGGCCTATCATCTTTTACTTAGTAGACTTAGAGATGTACATGTTGTGGTTCCAGTTGGAATCTGCTCAGGTGACTGACTCCCTGGTCTGTCTCTGTTGTAGGCACATTCTTTTTTGCTGGAAATTGGTGGGGTAGATGGGCCAAGGGTCTCTTGCTCGTGTGTAACTAGGTTTTGGTCAGAACAAACTGAAAACCAGTGCTCAACCTAGAGCAAGCAGAGGACATGCTGGACTCTCCAGGAGGGAACATTAATTTAAAAAGTAACATTCAATGTCCTAATATAATTTCATATTTTGGAAAATGAAAGAAAAAAAAATACCAGTACTGGTTTTGTGATCAATGGCAGCAAAGCAAAATTCAACAAAATTATGTTGGGTGGCAGGTAATGTTTTGTGCTCCTGGCAATGGGGCGTCCTGTGAGAAGGGAGGGCCAGGATTCAGGGGGTTCAGGGGAGGCATTGGGGGCTCTGCAAGAAGGACTGAAAAGGGAGAGCAGAGGCTGGAGGCCAGAAAAGAGGTGACAGTCTGAGTCTGTGTGTGAGACCCTGAGGGCCTGACAAGGCAGGGGCTGGAAGAATTCAGAGTTCCTCCCTTCTGATGTGGGGGACAGAGTAGAAACAAAGCAAGACACTGTCTTGATGGAAATAAGAGACTCACTATATCAGTATATACCACGGGTAGTGATAAGTGCCTGGGAGAAAACCGAGCAAGGCAGGGAGTGAATGACAGGCCAAGCAAGGTGCTATTCCACTGGGCGGTCAGAGGAGACAGCATGTGGGGAGAGACTGTACGGAGTGAGCGCGTGAGTTGGCAGGTATCTGAAGGAAGTGTTTCAGGTTGAAGGAGAAACACATAGACCCTGGGATAGGACAGCTCCATGAGTTTGAGAAACAGCAAGGAGGCCAGCAGACAGGAAAGGAATGGGCCAGGGTGACAGAAGGAAAGACTGTGTCTAGGGCTGGGGCCAAGGGTCGGGGGGGGGGGG